AGCTAGCAGAGGGCTGCTGCTGCTTTTTAAAGAGAGAGAAACCACACCCCAGTGGGCTGGTATCTCAGCAGCTATTGGCTGAAGGAGTGGAAGGAGCTCCCGCAGCACATTTCCTGCCTGCAAGAAGTATATGAGGAGTGGAAATTGTTTTCCCAGATCACCAGCCAGGTGGTCATAGAGAGGTGTTAGGGTATTGGGTATTATGCCAGTTTGTGACTTCATACTACAGGGAGTCAGACTCGGGGAGCTGACTCTAGTGGCAGGTACAGTAGAAGAGAACATGTCTCCATTTCCTCCTAGATTCTAGGTCAGGCCATGTAGGAACTCAGTCAGCCTTAGGAGCCTATTCAGTGTGGAGAGAGGTCAGAGTGCCAAGAATAAGGGACTGTTGGTGTGGCATAGTGGCCCAATGTGTAGGATACGATAATGTCATCTCACCAAGGTCCAGGAGACATTGTTCAGGAGAACAGAAAAAAAAACCCACTAGTACAGAACTAGTATCTCATTCCAGGCATGAAATCTGCTGTTGTAGTCTTGAAATCAGAGCCTGCACAAGACCTTTCCCTTGTGGAAGGGGTCAGGGAACTCATGAGACTCTCTTCTCCCTGAGTAACTATAAATTACTTACAATTGCTGTGGGTGCCACTACAGTGGTGCATGCCTTTAATCCCATCCATTCAACAGGCAGAATACCTAGTTTACATAGTGAGTTCAGGACAACCATGGCTACATAGAGAGACCCTGTCTCAAAAAAGCAAATTAACCAAACCTAGACAGAACAATTGCTGTGGGAGGTACTTGTGTTGGTGTTGTAGTTGCATGTAAGTTGCTCATGCTTCTGTAAGTAACCCCAGTTAAACTCATTGGTTTGCCTAGCTGAACTTGGGTGGAATTATTTCTTTTGTCCATGGTCTTTACTGAATAGAAACTTCCCAGGAAAAGTTGTACAGTGCATAGTTAGCTCTGAATTCAGAGACAAACAATGGAAAGAAAGAACAGTTTTGGTTGTTACTGAAGGAAGCTTAACTTGTAGATTCCTCTTTTTTATGTATATTCATTACATACTTTTTAAAACCATCCTAGTTTTTCAAATAGAATAACCTTTAATTTCTGCTATTGGACAGTTAATTTTGGTTGTCTTTCCAGATTATCACTCACTCTTTCTTCCCTCAACCCCCCCCATGAATGTATATTAGTAAAATCTATCAATAGCCTTATGTCTTTCATTAAAATTATTTCCTTTGGCTGGGAAGATGACTCAGGTGGTAAAGAGGATTGACTCCTAATTGTCCTCTGACCTCCATGCACATTTTAGGGCATGCATGTGCACTTATAACACACAACACAAATTCATACATAATGTAAACAAAACATATAAAAGGGTAAATCTTTAAAAAAAATTATCCATTTCCATAAGCATATAGTTCCCAGTCATTATTATTATTATTGCAGAATATTTCTATGCATGCACATAAATATGTACTTAACTATTTCTCTGGTGATAGACATTTAAGTGGTCCTCAGAATTTTGCTTTCAATTGGCAGTTGATGTCAATAAACACCCATGTAGTTCTCCAGTGTGGTGTCATATTGTCGAGGTGAGATTTCAGATCAAAGGCTATATACTGTAAACAATATATTTTTGTTAGTTGCTATATACTTTAAACAGTATATTTTTATTATTGAATGCAATTGGATTTTTAAAGTTAATGTATTCTTTTAATAAAATACTCAAATTGGACAGAAAGATACTCAGGAAAATCTCCCCACCCACTTCTATCTTGGGTTTAATTCCCCTCTAACCATTGCCCATGGCTCCTTGTGTGTTTGTGTGTAGAAGCATATATGTGCAATAGTAGACTGGAAAAGTTAGTATTTTTTTTAAACAGATAATGCATGCGGTTGTTAATGAACTGCATGTCTAGGCTTGTCCCATTGGTAGGCTTAGCCGTCCGTCTATGTGAGCCAACTGTTTCATGAATAAAATGCTAATGTACTGGTCTGATCAAAATGCATTTGGGTTTTTATTCTCTAGCTACTAAAACTGTACTGAATGTATCGCCCCACCTGCCTGCATATAGCACACTTTGATGTAGAGGTGGAGCTCCACAGGTGTTCAAAGCACCTCAGATGGTTTTTGGTGTGGGTGATATTTTTGGCAGGCTGCAGAGATTTCATCCATTAAGGAAAAAACCTCCCTCAGTTGTATTTACAAAGTTAAAAGACTTCTTTTTACCTTTTGTCCACACTTCCAGAGAGTCTGGTGACCTTGAACTTCTGGTTGCCTACTCATCCTGATCCCTGTCAGAATTGCAACATTAAACCACCATGACAAGCTCTGTGTCACTGGAGATAAAACAAGTATTTAGTGCATGCTGGGTAACACTCAAACCAATGGAACTACAGTCTGTGTTTTCTGAAAACTTGGCACAGTTTCAGTCATACTAGAACCCCAAGAATAAGCACCTCAGAAATGGATGTGCATAAAATACTGTTTGGGTCGTGAAGTTGTACTGTTGAGATGGTTCTTGTGGAGATTTTGTACTGAGCTTTATTTTCCCACACTACTGTGGATGGATCTGTATATTTTAGGTGTCTATATAGGATAAAGAACCATATTGGTATCTGAATTTACTATCATTTTATTAATTTCATATCTTAGTTTCATCACATCTGATTCTGACTTCACACTGTTGCTACCTTTAGTTCATTTATGTCACAAATGATGGATACCCAAGTGGTCCACCTCCACCTACTTTATTTAATGCTGATTTTTAATTCCCTGATTCTTGGTTCATCTCTATATCCTGATGCTTGGCTTTGGTTCTGCTCTCATTGTATGTGTCCTCGATGACTTCCCTACTCATTTCCTCCCTTTTCTCCAAGCTTTCTGATTCATATTGCTTGTAGCCTTGACCTTGTTCTTATCTCCTTTCCTAGTTGCATTTAGTGCTAGCCTTTCTTGTCTCCATAGAATGGGAACCCAAGCCCCTTCTGATCCTGGAGTAATTAATAGTTTAGCGGCTTGATGAGCAGAAGGTTCACTTTCTAAGGTACTTCTGATTAACCTTTGGTTAACAAACAAAAATGGGTTTTGATATGACATTTTGATACATATATACTCATCATTCACTTTTTTTCTTTTGGTTTTCGAGACAGGGTTTCTCTGTAGCTTTAGTGCCTGTCCTGAAACTAGCTCTTGTAGACCAATTTGGCCTCGGACTCACAGAGATCTGCCTGCCTCTGCCTCCCGAGTTCTGGGATTAAAAGCGTGTTACAACCACTGCCTGGCCATTTGCTCTCTTGTGCCTCCTCTCCTTGTTGATCCCTTACTTAACAAAGAGACCTACCATGACATATATTTCATTTCTCTTTTTCCCCCTGCCTCTTCTGTTTGATCTCTTTCCTCTCACACATTCTCTTTTACTTTCATCTCCCCCATGCCTCGTTTACTTTCCACATAGGAGAAAACATGAGGCATTTGGATATTTGTCATTCTGAGTCTGGTATATTCCCTTAGCACAACAAACTGTAGTTCTGTCTGTTTTAGTGCAGATGTAGTAATTTCATTTTTCTACCAATGTTTTCTTTACCCGTTTACTTGTTGATGGACACCTAAGCCTCGTCTCATCTCTCTCTCTCCCTTCTTCCCCCTTTTCTGTCTCTCTGGTTTTTTGAGGTAGGGTTTCTCAGTGTAGCTTTGGAACCTACCCTAGAACTTTCTCTGTAGACCAGGCTGGCCTTGAACTCACAGAGATCCGAGATCTGCCTGCCTGTGCCTCCCAAGTGCTGGGATTAAAGGTGTGTGCCACCATCGTCTGGCTCACCTCATCTCTTGATACTTCCCTTTGAATGGGTCTTTCAGTGGTAAACACTCAGTTTGGTGCTCTTAAGAATTTGATGTTTCATTGCTACCACATCCTAAATAAGCACGTGCCGTCTGCTTGTGTTATACTAGTATGCTTGCCAGTCTTACAGTAGAATGTACAACTACTTGTAGTTCTTTAATGAAAGGTGTACTACAGTTATGGGTGACACCTTTTGGACTGTAACATAACATTGACTGCTAGTTTACTTTAAAGTATTTAAAACATAGTTTTGCTTTTGTCACATTGTACTAAATCTAAATCTTAGTTATTTTCATGGAGAAAATGTCACCTGTAGAAATGCTGCAAAGAAGCTGTTACAGATACATTGTTTATGAAGCTTCTTTAGAGCTTTATTGAGATTTAAGTCAATAATATTCCTAGAATATACAGTTTGATGCCTTTTCATGTAGTCGTGAAACTGCACTGTGATCTGATTTTAGAGTGTTGTCCCTCTGCTCCCCTCTGCTCCAAAGAGGAAAGCCTGGGCTGAGTTACTCCTATTTTCTACCTTCCTAGAACTTAGGTGACTTTCAGTCTACTTTTTTGGTTTTGGAATTGCTTCTTCTGGACCACTTCATATAAACAGTACCTGATGTAGTGACTTGGCTGACGATTTCTTGTTCTGTGTAATGCTTTCGAGGCCCTTCTGTAGGGTAGCATGCGCTACATTTTGTTCACTCTTTCATTTGTTTCTCCTCTTTTGCTTTTGTGGATGCTGCTGCTGTGGTGGACTTTGGTATACCAGTGCCTGAGTTCCTGACATCAGTCCAAAAAAGGATGCTTACCTATTTGCCTTGTGCGAAACTAATTGCAGATTTTGCATATTAAATTTGTTATTTGATTCTGGAATACATTCTTAATAAGTGTGATTATCTCATGTGTCACTTGAATATACGTTTCTCACTTTGTTTTTTTGCTAATGACTTTATTCAGTGTTTATATTTCTTTTATACTATGAACCTGATATTAGACAAAATATAAATTCAACTGATTTTCTTTTTCCTTTCATTTTGGTTTTTCTAGACAGAGTCTCTCTTGTAGCCTTGACTGTCCTGGAACTTGATCTGTAGACCAGACTGGTCTCAAACTCTGCCTCCTGCCTCTGCTATCAAAGGTGTGCACCTTTACTGCCCAGTTCAACTGATTTTCCATCTGAATTTAAAATGAGTCAGAAAGCAGCAAGACCCCTGACAACATGAGCAGCTCATCTGGCCCAGGAACTGCTAAGGAGTGCACAGTGCAGTGCTGGGTGAAGCGGCTTCACAGGGGTCAGAGTGTCCTGAAGATAAGAGCACCGCTGCAGCCATCAGAAACCTACAGTGAACAACTGAGAGCGGCCACCAGCGCTGGATCCTGTTACCACTACAAAAGTGGTAAGAGTGGTAAAGCCAAAGAATTCAGCATGTGCCATTCCACAGTCGGTTCTGTTTGAAGCAAATTGGGAAGTGGAAAAGTTTAGTAAGTGGGTGCCCATGAGCGGAGTGAAAATCAAAACCCTTGTAATTTTGAACTGTTGTCCTTTCTTACTCTACACAACAATGAACCTGTTCTCTTGTGTTGTGATGTGTGACAAAAAGTGGATTATATACAACCACCAGTGACTGCTTAGTGACTGGACTGTGAAGAAACAGCAAAACATGTCCCAGAGCTAAATTGACAACTCTGAGTAATGGTTTGGTGGTCTGCTGTTGATCTGATCCAGATTTCTGATCCCACCCAGCATTATTGGACAAGAATATTCATCAGTGTATCAGTGAGATGTACTGAGAATGGCACCATGCAACCTGCATTGTCCACAGAAAGGGCTGAGTCTTCTCTATGACAATGCCCAGGAGGCTGCACCTTGCACAGCCAACACTTCAGAAGGCAAAGGAATTGAGCTATGAAGAAAAGCCTCTCTACCATATTCATCCGACTTCTCTTCAACCAACTACTGCTCAATCATCTCAGTAACTGTTTGCAAGATAAATACTTTCGTAGTTGGGAGGATGCAGGAAGTACTTCCAACAATCCTTCAAATCTTGAAGTACGGATTCAATTTTTTTTAAAATTACATTTTCTTTTGTGAGTTGTGTGTATGGGAGTAACATGTGTGGTCCTACCTACTCAGTTTTATAATAAAATATCAGGAACCTTCTTTATATCTAGAGCCAATTTGACCTTAATGAGCTATAAATACAGAATAAGTACAAGAAGTTCTGCCAAACCTGTAGGTAGATGATTTGCCTTTGAACACTGATGAGCCCAGGCCTGTGATGTATGCTATTTTACATTTATTACTTTATTTGTTTATATGTCTACTTGAGTTTCTCTATGAGGGCAGAGATTGCCTATTGCAGGAATAGTTCCTGGGAGCTAGTCTGTCCTCTTGGGGGACTTATTTGGACCATGTTGTGGAACCAAACTGAGAAAAAGATAAAAAGAGACCACACTTTGGCTTAGCCACTTAGTAGTGATGTCTCTTGCCCTTTGTCCCAGTTTTAAATTAAGTCCAAAGCCTGTCTCTTTATTCTAAAGAAGGACTCAGGGTTATTTGATCTTTCTACCTGCTCCCTCAGCATGGCTGCATTCATTCAATCTCTTCTCATTGTTTCTCTCCATTACTTGTCATTTAATTAGTATGTTGGGACAGGTGACCAACCTGAGCCTGTAGGGCTGCTGGAGCTGGGGCTTACCTCCTTAAAACCCAGTTCCACTGTGATTTAAAAGGGATTTGGACTATAACAATTTTAATTTATATGAGCATTCATAATCCACTTTGGTATCATGTACATATTATAAAAAGATAAGTACATGTGGGTAACACATAAACGTTGTATATTAGTTACTTTCCTGTTGCTTTAATAGACTGCCAAAAGCATCTTAAGAGAGAAAGAAAGAAGTGTTTGTTTAGTTTGAGGTTACAGATCATCATGGCAGGGAAGTAGAGTAGCAGGAGCTACTGATAGTGTCTTCAGTATCAATAAGAGTAAGAAACCACCTAGATAATACCTCAGCTAAGGTCTGCTGTTGTATGTTATGTTACAGAGCTTACTTCCATGAAGGATCCATTACTATTGCCTTGATGAAGATGGGAATCATCTTTTGTATGACCAACAGAGATTTGCCATTTATAAAAACCACTTTATAGTTGAGTTTGGCTCCCTGGAAAACAGGTTCATTACAAAAGCAACTGTGTAGCTCCCAAAAGGGAAAATGTGTGTACTATGTCTGGTATGTGCTTTGCAATCATTCCCAAGGTTTTGTTAGTGAATTTTATTGTGAGGCTGTAAAAAGGTAGAAATTCACTTGAGTATGTTTAAGATTGGAGATAATCACCATCACAGAATACAAGTGGCTTTTATAAAACAAGAGAAGGAGACTAGAACACAAAGACAACTTCTGCTTCTTTCCTATAAAGCTTTGTGATGTCTGAAAGACTGCTAGCCAGAAGCCATGACCAGATGTAAACCCTGGAAGCTCAGAAGTGCGAACTAAACCACAATCCTCTGGAACTTTGTCCTAAGCTAAACTTCGGTCTTCATCAAGTTTCCCAGGCTCCAGTATCCTACTGTGTAACACAGAACCGAGTAATACTGGTGATACAGACATTAGACTAACAGCATGCATTTTTGGTAGACAGTATTTGGCCAGGCTTCCTTCTTTGCTTAGAGTCCATAATTGAAGATAGCATTTCTAATGTGACTACCCTGTACTAACTCTTAATTGGGTTGTGACTGAGCCCCAGAAAGTCTTGATCTTTAGACTATAGGGGTTTAAGGCCCTCTGTATACTTATAAGACTCTCTACATACTCGGCAAATAGTAGTCTCAGAATTCAGAATTCCCTTTGTTCTTTCCACTTTTCTTGAATATTGCAGTCGCTTTGCAAAATGAGTGGGTAGTATCACCTTTTAGGCTGGAAACACAAAATTGGGTAAGGGCTCCTCCCTTTCCCCTCCCCTTCTCCCCTTTTTGTTTTTAGGCAAAGTCTCATGTGCCACATAGACCAGTCTCAAACTCTGAATTTTCATGCCCAAACTCTTTAGTTCTGGACTTTCACTCCACATCCCCAGCTAGTAGGTCAGTAGGTTTGTTTGTCTGTTTTTAACAGTTTCCTGGTGAGCTGTAGATTTCAAGTCTAATAGAAGAATAAAGAAAATAGTAGCCAGGACACAATAAAAACACATGGTCATTAAGTTGTCTTGGGAAAACCCTGACATTTGGACTCTTGTTAGAGTGACTTTATTATCTTTTTGTGGTTTTGGTTTTCAAGACAGGGGTTTTTTGTTACTCTGGCTGTTCTGGAACTCACTCCATAGACCAGGCTGGCCTTGAACTCACCAAGATCGCCCTGCCTCTGCCTCCTTAGTGCTGGGATTAAGATGTGCCCTACCACTGCCTGGAGATCTTTATTATCTTAATCATGGATTATGCTTATGAGAGATGAGACCTGGACCTTTATGTGCTCTGCAGTTTTAATAAAAAGCTTTTCTTGTAATATGAATAGATGAAGTCATCTATTATTCTCTTCATACCAGAGTATATAACTTTAACACTTTTTTTCAGATTCAACTTCTAAACTACTGGCACCATAAAAGGGCCTACCCTAAGCTCACCAGAAGCTGCTTTTTGTAGTACTAGGGACCAGACTCTGGGCTGTCTTAAACAAGTGCTTTTGCCACTGAGCTATAGACGTAGCCCTCTTACTTGGTTTTTAAATTATGACCCATCAACAACCAACCCAGGGTGAATTTTCTAGTGTTTCTGGTGTCTATTTAGGGCATAGTTTATCACTACTAGTTTCTCCCTTTTTAGGAAGTAGAAGAGTAGCATGGATCAGCAGACTTTCCCTGAAGAAAGCCAGAGAATAAACGTTTAGATTTGATGGGTCACATGTAGTCTCCTTTTTTGTGGGATGTGGGGGTGAATAGGTGGGTATATTTTAAGCCATTGTTTAAAAATATAAAAAACCTGCATAGCTTGTAGACAGTAAGTATATTAATGGGCCGTAAACTGAACTTAATTCTTGAATACTAGCTTGCTGTACTAGCATTCTCTACAGGAATAAAAGTGATAGGATAAAAAAAATACAGACTTTATTAAGTCAGCTTAAAATATTAGCAACTAGGGTCTCATACCTGAGTCTGAGAACCCAGTAGTTTTTTGGTCCTTGAGGCTTGGTGTCTTGGTGGCTGTCTCACTGGGAAGGCCAACAACCCAGTAGTTGGCTTAATCCACAAGCCGAGGTGCCCCAGAAGCCCCACTCTGGCCTCAGAATGTTCCTGGAGAGAGCCCTAGGTCTTTATTCAACAGTGGAAATATTGGTTCTGAAATCAGTGAGAGCAGCAGCAGCCACAGGGTAAACCAATGCTGTGACAGGGAGGGCCAAGCTTGGAAAAGGCAAGTCAAATGATCTTCCCTCTGCCATGGTCCTTCTTTATGCGGGCTGCTATAAGAAGGTGCTGCCCACACTGGGGTGGGTCTTTCCACATCATTTAAGGCAATCAAGACAGTTCTTCAATTGAGGCTCCAACCCAGAGGATGCTGATTTGTGACAAGTTGATTTTAAAATTACCCATTCCACATTATAACATGAATGGAGATATAGGAGAGATAAAGTCATAGGATATTATATGAGGGAAGCTTTCTTGCTGAGTGTTTTCAGTGAGCCCCAAAGATTGTACAAAATGATTGTACAAAATTTGGCTTTGAAATTTAAACTAGACTGCAGAGAATCCTCACTGGTTAAGAGTGTTTACTGTTCTTTTAGAGGACCCGAATTCAGTTTCCAGAACCTACATCAGGCAACTTACATCTGCCTGTAACCCCACTTCCAGGGGATCTGATGCCTTTTTCTGGGCTGCTGGCGTCTGTCCTCAAGTGACATATATGCACACATACATGTAACTAAAAATAAGCTAGAACTTTAAAAAAAGACCTTGAAACCAAGTCAGTAAAGCTTCATTAGTTGGGTGGACTCTGACTTTCTCAGAGTGTGTCATGAGGCTTTTGATCTCTTGATTCCCTGGAAGCAATACCAAAACTTTCAGATCTCATGTATGAGTAGCTGGAAATTCTTATGGTGGTTAATAATGTTCAGAGGAGGAAGCTGCTAAATTTTCATTTTAAATTGGAAAAGATCTGTTCCCAGGAAATAGATTTGGGTATTAAGGAGCCTTTTAATACCAACCTGATATGGGATGATGGCAACCTTCTGCCTGATGGTCAGTGAATCTTTGTGATTATCTCTTAGTTATGTATACTGGGTGTATACCTTCTCAGCTTGCCTTGTGTCTTTGAGCCTAGATAGGAAAGTAAGTGTGAGGGTCCGCCTATTCCTATATTCAGACAACATCATCTGATGGTCCACTGGAGTAGATGCCAGAATATGGTCCCGCTCTAGGACTTGCTGAAAACATTAAAGGTACTTGTGGAAAATCTCAGAGCAGAGGTGTCCTGAGGAACTGCTCACTCTCCCCACTGGAGATCTATCCCATCAAAGAAGATAATTGGGAAAATACACGCAGCCTTCAGCGTGCTAAAGATAGAATGTGTGCAGGTCAGGTGCAGTGGTGTATAACTGTAATCTCCATACTTAAGAGACTGGGACAGAGGGATTGCTTCAGAGATGGAGGCTAGTGTGAGCTCCATAGTGAGTTTAGGACAGTATGAACAACCATAAGACCTGTCTCCACAAATAATAAACAGAAATGTTGGGATTGGGGTTTATAGGATAGCCGGGGTGCAGAGACAGAAATATAATCTGTTTACAACCCTGAGATCTGCGTCTGTCCCCTTTCTGTTGTCTGTGCAGCCTTCCTGTTAGCTTCTACTTCCAGAAGGTACAGTCTGAAGCTGGGCAGATGCTTGGATTCAGTCTTCACAAATGTGCAATTATCAGAAGATCTTTTCCCCTTAAGACAAAGTTGCAGAAAAGAAGCTGCAGCTACAGATACTGACTTGATTAGAACTTCAGTGATGTGAAGAGGTTGGAATATTGCAAGTTCAAAGCCAAAGTTACCTTAGGCTACCTTTAGTCCTCTGCCCCCAGCCATCTATTGCCCACATCTGTATGTGGCCTCACTGACCCCTGGCTTCTCCAAACCTAAGAATGTCTTCAGACAGATTCAGGTGTTTATAGATTTCCCAACTTTGCGGTAACTACCTCCCTGATGTTTCCATCAATGTATTTTAAAAGTGCCTTGATTTATGGTTTAATTTGTTCTGTAATATTAAACTTCATGGAACTAGTTTGGAGTTGGATTGACACTCAGTGTAACATGAGCCTGTGTTCCTAGGATACAGTCACTCATGTTTGGTTCCAGAATAAACTGTCTCTTGCCCTCTTTGAGGTTAGAGTTGTGTTTTTACCTCCATGCCCCTTTTGTTTACAAAAAGTCAGATTTTGTTTAAATATAGAATCCATAAACAATGTCCAAATTAGGTATGGCCTACTTATTGAATAAGGATGACCTTGGAAATTTTAAGAAGAGGAAAACTAGAAGATTTAAGGGGGTGATTTATTTTGCAGTGTAGATCCCCCTTCCAAAATTAAATTACCCAATTTAAACATCACAAAGTATGAGAGACTATTACTCTGTTCAATCTTTGAGGTGAGGAATTGTGGGTAGACAATGGTATGGGTTATTAGCAGGCCACTAAGTAGTTTGTTGATAGTCAGTGGTGATTTCCTAGTGTTATCATCCAGTTTTTAACGAGGTTGTTCCTTAGTGTTTCATTTTTTTAGACATTTCTTTTGTGATAATAGAATTAAAGGGACATTCAGGTCATTGGGTAACCTTTCTCTATCACCCACATTTTCCCCTATACCATTTCAGCTAATGCTTAAGTACTGTTAGTCCCAGTATGTATGGGTATCTCACTGTTAGACTAGTAAGGCTGTCAGTGTGGTGTGAGTATTTCACTGTTAGACTAGTAATGCCATCAGTGTGGCATGCGTATCTCACTGTTAGGCTAATAAGGCCTTAAGTGGCTTGCTCTGATTCTTTCCAGTGAGGAGGCTCTGTTGGCAGTCTGTAGGAAAGCCAGCTTCCTGTCTGGATTTTCCTTGCATATGGAATGCCATCTTTTTCTCTGTAACTTTGGAGCCTGTTCTGGAACTAGCTCTTGTAGACCAGGCTGGCCTCGAACTCACAGAGATCCACCTGCCTTTGCCTCCCGAGTGCTGGGATTAAAGGTGTGCACCACCACTGCCCAGCATCTATAGCTTTTCTAAACCTCTTTGATTTCCTAGAAAAATCAGGTAACCTGTGGACTTTTCCTATTTTTTAATTGATTTTTTATTTGAATTTTCTGTATATGAACTAATTACTATAGATGGGGCACATAAAGATTATATATTTCTTTTTTATTTTTCAGATTTATTTATTTATTTGTTTGCTTATTTATTTATTTATGTAGTATCCTGCCTGTAGGCCAGAAGAGGGCACCAGATCTCATTATAGGTGGTTGTGAGCCACCATGTGGTTGCTGGGAATTGAACTCTGGAAGAGTAGTCAGTGTTCTTAACTGCTGAGCCATCTCTTCAGCCCCTGATTATATATTTCTAACACTTTTTAATTCCTTTGGAAGGGAACAGATAAGGAAATTGGGATTAAGAGAACTAAAAAAGCTGTGTGTGGAGTTGTGCAGGTGTGTATGTAAGGAATATTCTGTTGTCTGTCATTATAGTTGATGGTTCTTTATTTGTACACAGAACTTCAGTTCCATACCACATCTGAGGAGAGCCCTCAGGTTTTTTGTTGTTGTTTTGGTTTTTGGAGACAGTTTTCCATGTAGCCTTGGCTGTTCTGGAACTCACTCTGTAGACCAGGCTATACTTAAAGCACTATATATTTATAATTTTACTGCTTGCTTTGGGTCATTATTGAAACCAGTGAGTAAATCTTTTTAATCTCCTGTCTATTTTTTTACTTTAAAAATGTATAGATAGTGAGGCAGGATGGCACACACTTTTTAATCTCAGCACTCAGGTGGCAGAGACAGGTGAGTTTGTGAGTTTGAGGCCAGCTTAGTCTATGAATTGAGTTCAGATCAGCCAGGACTACCAAATGAAATTCTGTTTCAAAAAAAAAAAAAAGTAAGTCAAAGAAAAGAAAAGGAATCCCTGTTGAGGGAGTGCCAGATCAGATTGATAATGTGGACATGTTTTCAGCAGGCTGTTTTAATTAGTAATATAGAGACCCAGCCTACTGGGGATGGTGATGCCATTCCCCGAGTAGGTGGTCTTTTGATGTATGAGAAAGCTAAATAAGGTTCTGGAGAGGTGGCTCAGCAGATAAGAGCACTGCTGCTCCTACAGAGTACCCAAGTTCAGTTCCCAGCACTCACAGAACTCTTATAATTCCCACTCTGGCCTCTGTGGGCACCTGGTGTGCATGTTTTCATACTCACAGACACAGACATGAAAATCTTCACAGAAAGAAAGAAAAGGCATGAGCTAAGCATGAACCTGTGAGTAAGCCAGCAAACAGGGACTCTCCATGAATTCAAAGAGGGACTCTCTTTGAATCCCTGCTTGCGTTTCTAATGATGGACTGTATCCTGAAGCTGGAATAATAAACCTTTTCCTCCTTTTTAGTTGTTCTTGGTCATGAAATTTTTCACAGCCACCAAGGTGAAGCTATAACAGGATGTTAAGGTGAATGAGTGAATCTTTGGTTGAGTTTAGTATTTCCATGCCTGTCACACTATTTGTCCCCAGAGCATTAAACGTTAGGATGATAATCTTCTACCTTGGACATTGCAAAATATATTGTACAATACTTAATCAGTTAATACCCCGCATATAAATGTGTCTAGTAGACTCATCCTGGTTCTAGTGTGTTTATGTCTTTACTTATTTTGGACTTTGAAAAATCATTTAGACTTGTGAATATTAAATTACAGTTATCCTTAATATCTTTCCTATATTATGAAGCCTTTGGAGCTTTTACTATGAAGTATGGTGTAAAATCCATTATTATAAAACAGTTTCCCCATGGTGAATATCGTCATAATTGAATAATTGAGATTTGTTAGAAATGTTGTAAAGAAAAAAATAATGTTATTTATTTATTTATTTATTTATTTATTTATTTGAAGACAGGATTTCTCTGTGTTGCTTTGGAGCCTGTACTGGAACTCATTGTAGACCAGGCTGGCCTTGAACTCACAGAGATCCGCCTGACTCTGCCTCCTGAGTGCTGGGATTAAAGGTGTGCACCACAACCACCCAGCTGTAAGTTTTAATAACTTAAAGAATAAAGCATTAAGTGACCTTAACTGGTTTTAAAACGGTTGATGCAATCAGTCCCTCACTGTACTCTCCTTGCATTTCCTGTTAAGGTGTCTTGGTACTTAAATAAAAGTCATCAAAGTGGAATCATGTTTAACTTTTTTCATTCTTGATCTTCAGAGTCCTCAGTAATATCCAGGAAAGTAATGGGTATCAGAGTCCCCATGCCTGAGCTATTCCCCATTTAGATGATACTTCCGAGAAGTTTTTGTTTGTGTCTTTGACAGTCAATTTACACTTGGCCTGTTGTAACACTCAAATTGTGTTATAGCAGAGTAGTTATACAATATAGTAGATACTTGAAACTCTGTGATAGGTGGAACTCTGATGTATCCCCAGTTTTTAGAACAGTTCTTGATATATGATACTTAGAAATAGATACTAAGAGAGTATCTCTTGAAGGTACTTGGATGTGACCTAAGTTATATGAGAGTATGATTATAATGTGCTTTGTTTTTAGAGTTACAACCGTTTTTTGCATTAGTGATGTATTTTGACTTTTCTGATACTTTGTCACGTAAACTGGGTTTATATCATAATTAGAAGGAAACTTGTCTGTAAATCCAGAGCACAATATCTGACTTTATCTCGTACACATAACTGGAGTCCCAGACAAGGCTTTGCATTCTGGTGTTAACACCTCCACAGGTAATTACCTTGACCTACATATCTAAGATGATTTTCCTGTCTGATGTTGGTGTTAAACACATGGTTTGTTTCTGTGTAGTACTTTAAAATGCATGCAAACATAGAACTGCCTGTATATTAAAATAACTTTGTTTTTACAGGAAGGACGATAAAGACTACGCTTTAAAACAAATAGAAGGAACTGGAATCTCTATGTCAGCATGCAGAGAGATAGCAGTAAGTGAAGTTTTTGTTATTACCATATCAGTTGACTTAGGAATGTCAGTTGTGCAGATCTCTGTTGTATTTGCCATCATATAAATTGAAAGCTGCTAAATATTTTTCTAGACAAGTATTTTCAGAAAAAAAATTAAGGAGAAGTGAAGGTGGCAGGTAGTTCTTGCAATGTATACATTTATTTGGGGTAAAATTAATTTCGGTTGTTTATGTGAACACCTCCTCCAATAAATATCACTAATTCTTAAACTTACTGTTGTTACTTAATTCTGGTCAGTGACAGTTGTTACATCAAGCTAACAGTTTTCTATGGCTAGGGTGGGATTGATGTCTTCATGAGCACCTGTTAAAATTGAGATTCTGTTGTTTTATTATCACCATGTCCATTTTTCTTTTGGAAACACAAGCTTTCCATGTGGTAATTAGAATCTTCTTACTTCAAAGGAAGTGTTCTCATATAAATACGGTTAATAATTGTGCATATATTTAAACTAAACATTGCATCCTTGAGATTGACTTGAGGTTTTTCTTTTATTAAACTCTGGCTCTGAGCTATTGAGATGGCTCTGTAGGTAAAGGTTCTTACTCCCAAGCTATAAGTTCAGTTCCCAAACCTGAGTGGTAGAATTAGAGGACCAGCTCCCACTAATTTCCCTCTCACCTTCAAACACACATGCACAGTGATGCAAACACACACACAATAACAATAAATTTTAAAAAAATTGTGATTCCAAATGCCTGTTTCCTGACTCTGTAATCAGACCTTCATACCATGAGTCACAGTGTCTGCCTGTGTTATTGCTTTAATTTTCTTGTCTGTACATAAATGTGTCTTCTGTAATCTAGGAATACTTGTTTAAATAATCACACTCATTTCACAGATTCATGTTACTGTATCTTCAAAGTCGGCCATTTGTTGACAGGACATTAAAGTAGAAAAAATTAAGATACACAAATTTGGGTCTCTATTTCTGAGTATTTTTACACTGCTGGGAAAAGAGACTCATAAATCTTAACAGTACAAATAAATGAGCCTGGTGTTATGATAGAAATATATGGGGAAAGGAAAGAATGCTTGTTGAGTAGAGAGTTGGCAAGGGATCTATCTCCATGGTGCCTTCAGCCATAGGACCTAACCATTTCTCTTGAGCAACCCAGAGCAATGGCAGTTGTAGCAGGCTTTCTTTTGGGACTGCCAACCAGTTCCCAAATAAAGACATGGAAACTTATGAGTTATGAATGCTCAGCCTTAATTTAGGCTTGTCCCACTTGTTGCAAGCTACACCACGTTGGACTGTGATATGTCAGGTGCCACCTTTTTGGCATGACTCTTGCCAGGCTCCTAGCTGTGTGGGTTCGGTTCATAAGGTCCAGGGTAGGGGCGTGGAGCTTAGAAAAGTTAGGTAGGAGGAACAGAGATAAGAAGGAAACACAGACACTTAGGATAGTATTGGGAGGACAACTCTGCGAATACTGAATGCTGAATTCTTTTTTCTGAGTTCTGAGTACACCCACGTTTATTTTTCTATACATTTTTTATACCCCAATACAAAAGGGGGAAGAAGGCAAAAGACTGCTTTAACATAATACAGAGAACAACCAGATCAGTTACTTGCCCCAATGCTTGACATCAAGTTATTAATTCTTGAGAAAAATATTCTGTTGTTTAAGCAGTGAACCCACCGTAGATCAAGTATCCTGAAGGCAGCCAGTCCTAGGTCTTATTTTCTATATCAGAAGAAGGGGCAGAAGTATTCTTTGATCAGGGTGGAGAGGATACACCTCTATGGGCCATCTTAATAATGTCCAAAATACCACGTAGCCACACCCTAGATCAGGGTGTGTAGTCATAGTTGTGTCAACAACTTTGAGCAAGTCAAAACTCTGACGTTCAGACAAGGTGGAATAGGCTCACAATTTGGGCCTCCACACCCATTAGCTCTTACAGTTTATTTTGACATGTTTCTCTTCATCTGCGTTTTGCCTTGGGGCTTTTTATCTTTCTTTCATTCTGTATGTCCCACTCCATGTCTGGTTGGCTGGCCCCTTTCTCCCTTGTTCTCTCTTTTTTCTCTCGCTGTCTTCCCCCCCCCCCCCCCCAACCCTCTACTGCCTAGCCTTTGGCTGTTTAGCTTTTTAGCTAGACCAGGCAGGTGTCTTAGACAGGCAAAACAACACAGTAAGTGTATAATTTAATGTGAAGCTTTTCTGGATATGTTGTCATTGTTGATTGCTCTTTTTGTGTGTGTTGAGAGAGAAAGACTGTTTTAGAGGTACATACTGGAATACTTGCTGGTGAAATAGTATAATATCTGGAATTTAATTCAGAATAAGTCAAGAGGTGGAGAGAAGAATGAGCTTGAATGTAGATAAAAATGACTCTGAGTGGCAGGCTTAACAAAAGGTAAGGAAGGAAAAGAATTCCATCTTTGTTTTACTGCCTTCTGCCTTCTAGCAAACCCTTCAGTTCCTCTCTGACTCTCCCTTTTAGTAACTTGCTCACATTCAGTCTGGTTCTTTTGTTGTCGTTGTTATGTTTTGTTTGTTTGGGGTTTTCTGTGGTTTGTTTTTGTCATTGTTATTGTTGTTTTCCTTTGCTTTTTCAAAACAGTTTCTCTGTGTAGTACTGGTTATCCTGAAACTCACTCTGTAGACCAGGCTGGCCTCGAACTCACAGAGGTCTGCCTGCCTCTGCCTCCTAAGAGCTAGAAAGACATGCACCGTCATCTCCCGGCTCAGTTTGGTTCTTTAGTAATATTTATTACAAATAAAACCTTAGGATTTCTGTTGCTCACTTTAAACTATTGCCACCCCTTCCTGGGCTAGCCTGTGACACATATCATCAGCGTAGCCTAGGAGAGAATTTTGAGAGATTCTTTCAAAGCTCTCATTTTTTTGTGAGCTGTTTGCCACATTCATTTCCAGAATTTCTGTGGGCTGGAATCCCTTTAACTTAGTGTACTGGCTAACTGTACAGCAGGTATCAGTTGCTTACCACCGGTATATGGGATAGTATTTGATAGATGGGGTGGGTCCATATTTAGACGGCTTTCACAATGCACTTGCACGTCAACCTCGGTGTTTCTGTTTTTTTTTTTTTTAATCAGTTTTTAAGAGTTTGGTTGAAGAAAGATTTTCAATTTTTTTAAAAAAAAATAATTTGGCATAATTAAGGCTCAGTTTAACTATTAACATGATTAAGGTATACATTTTTAAAACCTGGTTTTGCTTTTAGAAGCTGTTAGAATACAGTGTCAAGGTTGTGGAGATGGTTTAGTTGGCAAAGTACTTACCTTTCAATCACAAAGACCTTTATTTACTTTTTAGCATCCAAGTAGAAATGCCTGCTATAGTCACAGCAAGGTATGCTTGTAATCCCAGTGCCCAGGAAGTAAAGGCAGGAGGCTCCCTGGGCTTGTTGATTGTCCAGTGTACTGTAGTTGGAGAGCTCCAAGCAGTGGAAGACTCAAAGGAGGTGGGCAGCATGTCTGAGGAAGACACCAGAGGTTGTCCTCTGGCCTGTATACACGCATCCATGCACACACACACACACACACACACACACACACACACGTACAAATCCATAATTTTTTTTAAAGATTTATTTATTTATTATATATACAACATTCCTTCCATGTGTGCCTGCAGGCCAGAAGAGTGCACCAGATCTCATTACAGATGGTTGTGAGCCACCATGTGGTTGCTGGGAATTGAACTCAGGACCTCTGGAAGAGCAGCCAGTGCTCTTAACCACTGAGCCATCTCTCCAGCCCCAAATTCATAATTTTTTAAGAAAAAAGAAAACACTGTCATTTTGAAAATATTAGACGTTTTCTTACCCAGTTTCTTCCTCTTCACTTTGATAGACATAGATTGGCATTGTATGTTTCTAAATTTTACTATTTTTTATACTTTACAAGTTTAAATTAAATATAACTTCAGTAAATCAGGTTTATAGTGAATGATATATTCAAAGTAGGCAAATATTCAGAAAAGTTAAAAATTTTTAGTCCCTGGGATCCACCTGTCTTCACTGATCAGCTCTGGGAATACAGGCATGTCCTTAATATGTCATGTCTGACTTAATAAATGCATTATTGATGATGATGTTTTTAACACTGATCAGCTCTGGGAATACAGGCATGTACTGCCATGTCTGACTTAATAAATGCATTATTGATGATGATGTTTTTAACTTAGGTTGGCTTTATCAGAATGTAAATCTATTGTAAGCTGAGGAATGTCTCTATATATAATGGAATGTTTTCACCTATAAAAGAGTGGGGGGACAGCTGCTACACGCTACAACAAGGATAAACCTTGAAGATAATACTGAGTGAATGAGCCAGACAATAAGGATAAGTGTGAAGCTGGGTAGATAAAGTGCTTTCAAGGTACTGAGTTTAATCCCTAGGATCAACCCCCCCCCCCCCAAAAAAAAGTAGGTGTTGTGGTACATGCCAGTGCTTGTAATCCCAGTGCAGAGGAGGTGGGGATGAATGGATCCCTGGCCTATGTGCCAAACCCAGGCCAGTGAGAGATCCTTTCTTAAAAATAAATAGGTGGATGCATGGATACATGGATTACTAAATAAATGGATTGGGGAGATGGCTTATTGCACTTGCTCTTCTGGAGGATATGAATTTGGTCACCAGCACCCACATCAGGTGGCTCACAACCATTTATTATATCTTCAACTCTTGGGGATCTGGCTCCCGATTTTGATCTGCATGGGCCCTGCACATGTAGCAGACACACAGATGCACATAAAAATCAATCAATCACATGGATGGCACTTCAAAAGTGATACCCATAGTTGTCCTTCCTCCTGCCGGCGTCTCAGTACCGATAGTACAGGTACACCTGTCAACACAAATAAGAAAGACAAGGTGTTATGAGAACCTACTAACACTAGGTGTTTACCATAGAAACCCTTAGGAATAGGTTCTAGAGTTTACCTAGAACTGGGTCGTTGACAGATACAGCATTTCTGCTTGGAATGTTGAAAAAATTCTATAGTAGTGATGGTTCAACAGCATTGAATATATTTAATGCCACCAATCTGTGGACTTAAAAATGGCTAAAATTGTACTTTTGATAAAAAGTTAAAATTACCAGTCAAGCAACAAATGACAGATTTATGGTTACCCTTTTTCAATATCTTTTTCTCTTCAGGTTTTTGTGTCACATCACACTATGTGGGTGTTTACTGAATGCTTAATATCAGTAAGCATTGGCTTTGTGTTGCCTTTAAATTGCAACTGGGATGGGGGCAGGATGGGTAAGGTCTGAGGTGGAGCTCTGCTTTGTTGCTCAGGCTGGCTGTGAACTCCTGGGCTTCAGGTGGTTTTTCTGCTTCAGCATTTATCTTTGGAGATCTTTGTTCAGTTCCTAGCGGCCAGGTAGAAATGCCTGCCATGGCGGTAGCAGAGAATGCTCATAATCCTTGAGTAGATATCTGTATGTGCTACCACACCTAGTTTAATTTGGCGTGATTTAATTTGATGTTTGTGTTAAATTTTGAATGAATCTCCTTTCTTTTGTAGTTACTTCGAGAGCTTAAGCACCCAAACGTCATCTCTCTTCAGAAGGTGTTTCTGTCTCATGCTGATCGGAAAGTATGGCTTCTCTTTGACTATGCTGAACATGACCTCTGGGTAAGGTGGACTGCTGGTAGCCAGGACTGTTGTGTTCAGTCAGCTTGGAAGTGATTAAACAGCTTCCACTGCACTAGAAATCTCTTCACTGGAAGCTTTTGCTTTGTTCAGTGGATCGAGTTGCCTTACTAAGATGCTAGGAAACAGAAGGGTTTCAGATGTGGGGTGGGTATTTGCATATGTTTAATGAGACATCTTAGAGGCTGAATCCATGTCTAAACTTGAAATTCACTTGTGTTTCAGTTTTATATTTACCTTATACATATAGCTTGAAGGAAATTTCATACACTGTTTATAATTTGAGTGTGAAACAGTGTTTCATGGTGTGGAATCATGTTAGCTCTCACAAAGTTCTGGATGTTGAAGCATTTTGAGTCTTCAGACTAGGGAGACTGTTCTTTTTGTTCGTGGCATGTTGGTCTTTGTAACAGACAGTAAAGTAAGAGGAGTGTGAACAATTCCGAATATTATTTTCTAATTACAGAGTTGATTTTAAAAGGTGAGCTTGTTTGCTATAAGGTTTTGAAAGAACTTATTTTCTTTTATTCTGTAATGTGAAGGACTTTAAAATGAAGCAGTACTTGTTAGGTAAGCATACTATAAAAGGATAAACGGGTCTAGTTACTGTCCCTGCCCCTGTCCTGTGACACTAGGAAAGTCTCCTAATAGTCCTGAAGCTGTTACATGCTGTATAAGCTAAGTGTGGAAAACTTAACTAATCATTTTTTAGTTATTCACAGCAAATGTTTAATATAATGTATTTCATTTTCATTGGCAATAATATGCTTTACTGTTTAAATGGGCATGTTTTTGTTTAGGGAAAAAAATCATTGCTGATGAGAGTCACACTACAAAACAAAATTTGTGCAGAAGTAGGTTGCAGCATCTCTTGTGGGTTTGTTTCTTAGGTTTGTGTGGCCTATGGCATTTTTACAGATTTAGACACAAATTGTGCATTTCAGATTTCTCAAATGAGTGATTACAGTTTACTGGTTTAGTCCAATTCATAAAAGACTCATACTATATTGATAAGAATGTAAATGCATCTTACCTAGACAAAATAAAAATATTTGCCTTACTGTCACTCATGTTCATGCAACCAACCTTAATTAAAGTTAGTGAGTCACACACACAATATAGGACATAAAAGCAGAGGGGATGTCTAAAGATATATATTATAGTGTGATGTAACAGGTAATTTATATATGTTATATTGCATATAATTTGATATACATAAGTAATTCATAATTGCCTTTTTCATTTTACTAATACTTATGAAGGCAAATGAATATTTTAACATTACTATAATAAAAACAGGATAGTTCATTCCCTAAAACTTTACTTTTTCCCCCTACTTTAATTGGAATTATATGTGGATTGACTGACATAAGGTAGCAAAAGCTATAATTAAGAGTTGTTTTGAAAATCATTTAGGCATTGGTAAGATTTATAGCCTGTTTACGGTGTATTTGATTTTTTAGCCTTGGAATATGAAGAATATGAAGCAAGAAATTCCCATGCTATAGGATTTTATTTATTTATTATTTTTAAAATGCTAGTTGTTTTTTATTTTTTTATTATTTATTTTTATTATTTATTTTTAAATCACTGTAGTATTTGGCATGTGACCTGAAGAAATACACTTTCAATTCTCTTACCTCCGCTACTTGGTTTTTATTCTGGCAAACTTGAAGCTTTTAAGTTCTTTAATGTACTCTACTTAAACCTATTTTTATTACATTTGGAGAGTCAGCGGATTTTCTTCTTACTGGCACAAACTCGATAGCATATTTTAAGATAGGTGATACATATTCTAAATTATTAAGTAATGCCTGAGGTAAAAAACTGAGAAGAAACTTAAGGTAACCTGGTTCTGTTATTCAAATATAGACAGGCATGTACCAACGAGTGCTTTTCTGGTCTCACTGCAAATGCTCTGCTACATTTCCCCCTTGGAAATACAGCTCTTTGGCTCACAGCTTACTAGTTATTCCTTCTGTCTGTTATGCTGTATAACATCAGGTAGAAGATCAGATGTTAGCCTGCAGTGTTAAGCATCACACTTCTACTTTCTTTTTTTTTTTAAATATTTATTTATTTATTAAGTATACAATGTTCTTTCTGTGTGTATGCCCGCAGGCCAGAAGAGGGCACCAGATCCCCTTACAGATGGTTGTGAGCCACCAAGTGGTTGCTGGGAATTGAACTCAGGACCTTGGGAAGAGCAGGCAATGCTCTTAACCTCTGAGCCATCTCTCCAGCCCCCTTCTACTCTCTTTTTTAACCACAAGAATCAGCTTATTGATGAAGAACCCCTGTGCAGTATGTGCTAGACATGAGTGTGCAATGGTTAGCATGCAGAGCTGACTTGAAATGTCCTGAAATTTACAGGTGTTCTATAGAAAATAAAGAAACTCATCGTGAGCTTGAAACATTGAAGAGGAAGAAACCTTTTCATGTACATTTATTTGTGAAGTGTTTAATTGATGAAAAGTTGTACTTTATGTTCTCTCTAGTTGTCTAGTCACGTGTACAGAGAAAGCTTTGCAGGGTGGCAGGCTTTTTCCTCATCTGGATCTTTTATACTTCTAAATATACTTCTAAGTATATTTAGCTTTAACTAACTTTGTACTTGTTACCATTTCTTTAGTTTCTATATGTTGGGTCTGTTTTACTGAAATCCCCATTTCAAACGTGTGAGTGTCAGAAATTGGCACCACACCCGTGCTGTTCCATCTGTCAGAATTTTGTCTTTTCCCCTTTTTTATTGAATCTTTACAGAATAAAAGTGGTTTGTTCATGAAAATTCCTGCCAGATAAACAGGTCCATAGTGCCCCCAATATAATCAACTTTAGTTATATTTTAAAGTGTAGAGCACCCTAGTTCCTGGTGTCTTCGTTTCCTGAGATCCCATTACTAACTTTAAAAGTGGAGCTGACCATTTTTGTTGTCAGTGTCTTGGGTGATCTCGGTATTGCCTTTTCTTACTCGTAAAGCTTCTTGTGGTATTTTCTTTCTTTCAGCATATAATTAAGTTTCACAGAGCTTCAAAAGCCAACAAGAAGCCAGTTCAGTTACCTCGGGGAATGGTGAAGTCACTGTTGTACCAGATCCTAGATGGGATTCATTATCTTCATGCCAACTGGGTGTTACACAGGGATTTGGTGAGTCACAGTTGGGTTCAACCAGGAAATATGTTTATAGTGGGGACTTTCCCCATTGTCTGTAGAAAATCTTGCCATAGGTAAGTAGGCGGGCAACTCTTGGGGCGTGGTGGTGTGGTGGTGTGTGAGCATGCAGTAGTCTTGTCCTTGTGCTGTTGATAGGACACAGTTACAGGAGGTGGACAATAAATATATCCTCTATTGCTATCTTCACTGTTAGCTTAGACAGTGCTGCTTACTGGACTTAGTTCTGGCTGTTTCCACTAGACTAGCTGGTTAGTGAATCCTAGCCCTGAGAATCCCAGACACCCACTGTCTCCTCCGTTTGTAGAGTTACAGCCACACTTGGCTGTTGAATGAGTGCCAGGAGTCCAGGGCCTCACGCATGTGCAGCATGGACTTTACCCATTGAGCTGTTTCCCCAGCCCCTGTTTGCTTAAAAAAAAAAATCTAAAGTATTATTATTCATTAATTCATTAAGTCTCCATAGGTTTAAATTACTCGTAATGCTTTCTTGTTATATAAGTAAATGTGGGGTTTTGTCTTTTAGTTCTTTTCTTTGTAAAGGTGTTAACTTAAGTCAGCTTTAGAACAGCACTCTTGTTTTAATGCACAGTGCAGGAATTTTGTCTCTCACCACATGTGTACATAAGAACAAATTCACAGACTGAAACGGAGCCGCAGGGCCACTGTGCTGTGGTTCTTTCAGTCTCTAGTCTGCATGAGTGATTCCAGTGAGCTGCTTTCCTGTAGCCTGAGGTAGTCCTGTCAAGAGCATTGAGCATGAGTCATTTTGTCCTGACCTTCACCTCAGTGCTTTCAGGACCAGTAACAAAGAAGTTTGCTTGAGTCCTTTTCTTTATGCAAACTCCCTTCCTAATGGAACTGATATTGTACTTAGACACAGTGGGTTTATAGGACAAAAATAGATAAATCAGTTTTTTATGAAGTTGAAGATAAATCTCAATAACAGAAACATTTCTGTTTTTTCTGTCTATTTTGTCCTGCCAGCTTTCTTCGTGACTTGTAAAAGAATGAAAATTCCAGTGGAAGGACATTTTTCTCATAAAACCAATTAAGCTAGAATAGCTCTACATTTTGTTTAGTTTTGTTTGTTCTTTTTAGTAATTCACTTAAAAATAGATGTTTATTCAGGAAATTTTGAGTGACTTTCCTAATCAGTGTTTAAATTTGTCACTTGACTGTAGAATATACTAAAAACAGTAACAAAGTAGCTAGAGGTCCAGTTTCCCCTCTCTCTTTTGGTGAAGCTCTTATACAGTGTAGAAATACTCTTTGTGACGTGGACTAGTGAAGAATAGGTTCTTTTAGAAGGCTCTGGTAAAACCTTCTCAAGCATAAAGCGTTTGGGAGACCAGAGCACCTTAACAGAAGGCAACAGAAAAAATCTATTGCCTGTAGATGCTGTCCAAATAATAATGACGAATACCAAAAGTTAATGATGTTGTCATTGCGTGCTAGCAATGCTGAGCAGTCTTAATGTAGCCTTCTACAATGAGGCACTGTGCTCCACTCCATTATCCTTCTATACACAGCACTACCTGGCTAGTATCCAGAATGTTCTTCATATAGCAGCACCTCCTCTTGTGACTTCCTTCCTTAAAATGAGATGTCCCTGATGTTCTCTGCTGGGTGTATCAGTGCTCTTTTTTAAAAAAATAAATTTTATTTATTTTGCATCCCAACTGCTGTTTCCCCCCTCCTCTCCTCCTAGTCCCTCCCTACCGCTTCTCTTCTGCTTTCTTCCCCCAATCCACTCCTCCTCCATTTCTGTTCAGAAAAGAACAGGCCTCTCATGGATGTCAACAAAACATGGCATATCAAGTTGCAGTAAGACTAAGCACCTCCCCTTGTATTCAGGCTGAACAAGGCAACCCAGTATGGGTTAGGATCCTAAAAAACAGCAAGAGTCAGAGACAGTTCCTGCTCCCACTGTTCAGTGTCACACAAGAAGGTCAAGATACGCCTTGTGTGCAGAGGACCTAGGTCTGTCCCATGCAGGCTCCCTGGTTGTTGATACAGTGTCTTTGAGCTTCTATGGACCCAGGTTAGTTGATTCTCTGGGTTTTCTTGTGGTATCCTTAAGCATCTAGCAGTCCTGTGTCTCCCAGGCACACAGGTCTTAGAGCTGTTGTCTGGACACTTAGCACAGCTGGCTCCCTTAAAGTTGGCCACTATTCAGGTGCCAACTTCTTAAACCTTGCCTTTGGAGTGAAAGATTACATTTTTAAAAGTGTAAGCACTTGCCGTTAGCTAAAACTTAAATTTTAGATTTAATTTGGGATCTATAATTTTTCAAAGTAGCTACATATGATGCTGATATATGTGGTAATAAGATATTTAAAATATTTACTCTCAGACTCTGTTCAGAAGCCATGTAGCTTTTAGCTTTATATTCTTAAGTATTAATGCAGATGAAACACTTATCAAAACAAATACTGTAATAGTCCATTATAGTTTCTGTGGCTTTGAAGTAAGGTTGATAAATGATGACAGTGATGTAGAAACACGTGTATGTAGATTTCTGATGTTAGGACTTTGATCAGTTAGTTGGTGGAATGTTCTGCCTTGTCACAAGAAACTATGTGGTAAGGTGGATGCTGATACACATACCCTGAAAATGCCCTTTTGATAATAATCAAGGATTTACTGAACTTTCTGTGTAATTAAATCAGGTTTATTATTAATACAAATACTGGTTTGAGCATACCTGTGATCCCAGCATGCAAGAGGCAGAGAGAGGCAGGAGGATCACAGTTTTGAGTCCATTCTGGCTACATTTGCTCTCAAACATAAATGTGGAAACATTCTTTTGTTGAGATGATAGAGACAAATATTGAGCTTTTACCACTAATACTCCTGTTTGATAAGTGGAAATTTATATTGTCATCATTAATGATCACACAGCAGAGGCTAATAGTTAGTCTTGTTTTTGGTAGGGAATGTAGAGTCATTCATGAAGAGCCCTGTGTGGGCTCAGGGCAAGAAAAGGACATTTGCATGGATGTGTTTTGTTAGTTTCTTGTCATAGTGCTGGGAATTGAAGGAAAATGATCTGATAGGAAGGAAGCACAGATAGTATTTATTTTCTGAAGTAATTTATGGATCTAAATGAAACTTTTTCATATTAGAACATTAAGTTCCCCAGTCACTATGAAGCAGAGAGAAATTAAAGCAAAGGTACATGTCTTATATCTTGCCTCTCCCTGTGTTGGTGGCTCCCTCTCATCCTCTCCCCACTTCTAGGCAGTGAGAATGTTTGTAGCAGTTACAATTCTGTCTCTGCTGCTCCTGTTCGTGTTAGGCTTTTCCAGAGCAGCATTACACACAAGGTGTGGGCATAGAGACATATAGAAAGCAGTTTATTTTGGGAAATTGGTTTGTGTAATTTAGAGGCCTAGTTATTCTGAATCTGCAGGATAGACTGCAAGGTGGAGATCCAGGAAGATGTAGAATTAAGTTGGACATTTAAGTCCCTGCTTGTGCATCCTTTGTTGCTCGCAGTCATTCTATGAGAGCCATCGTTTAATTAGATACTTTCTCACAGGAAGGAGGGCATTGGCTTTGCAGCACTGTAATAAAATACTTGACATGATTAACTTACGAAAAGAGAAGATGTATTTTGGTTCATGGTTTTGGATCTCTCAGTTCATAGTAGACAGGTCTTGGGCCTTTGGTTGGTTAGGTGACAATGATGGGGAATGAGAGATGGAATAAAACCTTTGCCAGGAAGTAGAAGAGGAAGTGGTGAGGCTCAGCTCCCAAGCCCATGAAGAGTGAGTTTCTAGTAAGCCATGACAAGGGTTCCCCACCGGGCCTACCCTTCCGAAAGGTCTGCCACCTCCCAGAATTGGTTTCAGGTCTGTAGTTCACAGAGATATCTAGAATAATGTTTGACTCAAACACCTGGGCACTGTGGCCCAGCCAAGCTGAAATGTTAAACTTTCTATACAAACAAATCCCCAGAGGTTCTAGCTCAAGTAGTTGGGATAAGTTAATTCCATGTTTCTCTCCTATTATCTGGTAATCCATAGAAAATGTTCCACATGACTTTTGACTGTGAAGAGGTGTTCATGGGAACTTTCCATGCAGTTATCAGTGAGGATGTTTAGCCTATTGGTACTTCTGGTGGAAATGTAAAATGATGTAACTGCTATGGAAAAGAGTGGCAGTTCCTCCCACAGTTAAATGCGGAGTCACCAAAACACAGCAGTTCCTCAGCGTCTGGATATGTGCCCAGAAGAACTCAAGGAGAAGTCTCAGAAAGTTGTCTGTGAATACCTTTTTAAAACCATGTGTGTATACGCATCTGTCTGTCTGTCTGTCTGTCTGAGTAGGCGCTCATGTTGACTAGAGTTCAGCCTGTGTGTATATCTGTTTATGTGTCCAGGCGCTCATGGAGGACAGGGTTCAGCCTCTCTGTGTGTGTATTTATGTGTATAGGTGCTCATGGAGGCCAGAACTCAACCTCAACCTCAGCTCTTCCTCGGGCCAGCCTCTACTTTGTTACTTGAAACAGGGTTTCATTAGCCTGGGTTGGTTGGCTAGCCCAGGGTCTGTCTCTACCTTGTCAGAGCTGGAATTAATAACACATATCACCACACTAAGCTTTTCATGTGGGTTCTGACAGATATTTCCTCAGCCCTGTGAATTCTTTTTCTTAGAACCATTTATCCACAATACCAAAAAGGTTGAAGCAACATGAATATCCATTGATAGATGAGCACATAAAAAAATTACTATGTACACATAGTGGAATATTACTCAGCCTTAAAGGAGAAGGGAATTCTGATATAATACTGATGAGGCTTGAGGACCTTTATTACAGTTGAGATTATCAGAAGTGTATTAAACATTTTTCTTTAAACAGCTTTTTGGAAGAAAGAGACTTTGTAATTGTTAGTTATAGTCATTTTTGGGAATTTATTTGGTACTCCATAGATTTATTTTATGGATTTCTAGTTTGTTTAATTGGGTAG